CCATTATCTCTAATGAAGCCAAGAATGTGTGCCAGGAGTTGGCCGTGTTATCCCCTCCCTTCAGCTTCTCTGTTCATCAGGTGAAAGATCTGGCAACCATCAACACAGCAGCTGTGGTCATCCATCCAAAAGATAATTGTTGAAGCTGATGTACCTTCCTTTTACATGCCTGTGAGTCAGGATTAAAGGAACTGATGGAGGCCTCTGTGACCATGAGCAAATTGCTCATTGCCAGCTTCTTGCCAGGTCGCCTACTTGGTTTCCACCTCCCACATCATGTTTGAGGTCTGCTAAGAAGTAGGAGGTTTCTAGTATGTGTAATTTTGTCAAAATGAATCCAGATACTATGTAGATTATTTTGCCCTAATAATAAAAAGGAGAGTTCAGACCTACACACTTGCAATATACCCCAAATCACAAACAAATATTTTAATTAGAGATAAATACCTTGCCCTCGCTGCCGTTGAAAGTACCCATCAGAGAGTAGTTTTCAGCACCTACATGTTCATTGCTTCCTTTTCTAGACCTGCTCCATTTTCATTATGTGGCTAATGATGAAACTGCTACCAATTGCCTTGGCAACATATCCATTTGCTAAAAGAGGAAACAAATTCTAAGGTTTAAATTAATTTTTCCCTGCCAGATCCCTTACACTAAGTTAGGAAATGGTTTTTAAAAGCAATAGATATTAATACCCTGGAAAATAGTAGCAGGAAATATTTCATGCAAGTTGCCATTTATAAAATATGTAAGCATTTTTGTTTTTTTAAAATGAATCAAAGCCTGTTGGCGCCATTACTATTCTTTCATATTCTCCATTAAAATATGATTTACTCTTACCATATGCTATACTTAGTCTTCTAGTAACTGTAGATCCGAAGACAATTAAAGGTTAGTGCTTTAAGACTAGAATGTGCAAATCAGATAAAAATGAAAGGCTAAAACTCCAGAATCTTCAAATCTTTATTGTAGGTTCACAACAAAAGGAATTGCGGCCTCCTAATGTGGTTATCTGTTATTTACATTCCACTTCAACTCTCTTGTGGTTTTGCTCTTTTTTTTTTCAATCAGATTCTGTTAGTAAATGAAAGACAAAAGTAGAAAACAAATTTTCAAAATTGAACCTAAATGCCAAAAGCTGGCAAATGCAGAACAGGCAAACATCACAAAAGGACTCCTAGCATTTTGTTTCCATGTTTCAATTTGTTGGCCAGAAGCTACCTGTAATTGTTACAAAGAGTTTGCTCACAATTTAGGAAATCAAGCAGGCACTTTTCCCAAGAAACAAGGACAGGACAGGGCCTGCATTCTGCTGGAATGGAAGCATATCTAGACTATGTTTGGGGGCACAATGCCAAAGACCAAATACTTCTTCATCCTGTAATTAAACTATTGCTATTGCAATAGAATTCTCACTTCCCAAAGGATCATTTCCAGACATGTATCTGTTTCTTATATTCAAAGGGAGTGTTCTACTGAACCATTGAGCTCAAAAATTCAAAAACTTACCTTGGTTCAGTTTGTTTTCTACTTATAAGGAATATTACACAGCAAATGAGTGGGTTACCTAGAATCCATAATGATATCCAAGTGACTATTTTTAAAAAAACAGGTTGTTATTCCATTTATTAAAAATTTCAAAAGGTAACCAGAATACAAAGTAAGAGAAACCAGCATTGCAAATTTGCACTAATACACTGAATGAACTAGCAGATTGATTGTTCCCAGTGAAGTCTGTGAATGAAAATGCTGCTCAGATTATACTTTGACTGCAGGCTTGAAAGACCCCGGGCAATCCATGTGACTTTTTAAAGGATATCAAGTTACCTAAAGAGTTTGAAAGCCTAGATGCTAATTACTAACAGTCATTGAGCATTCATTATATGCCATATAAGGTATCAAATGCCTTAGTACATGTTTCATTCTTTCATTTATTCGATATACCTATTGATTACTTATCCTAAGCCCTGGAGAGCAGGAGTGAACAAGACAAAATCCCTGCTTTCAGGGTGCTCATATTTGAATAGCAAAACAATTTACAAGTAAGGAAACCATGAATTATGTGTGGTGAATATAAGGGCCATGTAGAAAATGAAGCAGGGAAGTGAGATAGTGAGTGACTAGGTATGTGCATGAGAAAGGGTATCATTTAGGTGATATAGTGACGTATCACCAGACACCTGAAGGAAGTGAGGGAGTTTAGAAGCGGATCTCTGAGTAAGGCAGAACATTCCTTATACCCTACCTATTGTTTAATCCTCACAACAGCACTACATGTAGATACTTTTATAGTTCCCATTTTACCGATAAGAAAATTGAGATGTAAAAATATAAAGAAACTTGTTTATGGCCATGCTACTTACAAAAGACAAGCTAACATATGAACCTAGATCTTTTTTACTCACAAGTTTTTGTTTTGTTTTATTTTTTGCAGTACTGATTGAACCCAGAGCCTCACACACCAGGGCCTCACATGTGCAAGTTCTCTACCGCTGAAGTTAATCACTGGCCCTTTTAATTTTATTTTGAGACAGGGTCTCACTAAGTTGCTCAGGATGTTTGCAAACTTGTGATCCTCCAGCCTTAGCCTCAAAAGCTGTTTTTTCATTTGTTGGTGTTTTCTTTTGTTTTGGTTTTTCAGGACCGGGACTTAAACCCAGGGCCTTGTGCATGCTAGGCAACATTCTCCCGCTGAACTACATCACCACCCCACAAGCTGTTTTTATTACCTTTCTTCCATCAAATCACACAACTACCTACTAACAAGATTCATATGTGCTCAGTTATTGGAATCTCCCTAACAGGATAATCAATTATGTCATACTTTGAAAAAACTGAAAGGAAAAAAGTGAAATGAGGGTCTGGGGTTGTAGCTCAGTTGTGGGGCACTTTATCTCGCACATGTGAGGCACTGGGTTCAATCCTCAGTACCACATAAAAATAAATAAATAAAACAAAGGTATTGTGTTCATCTACAACTTTTAAAAAAAATTAAAAAGTGAAATGAGGCTCACTAAAATAAATAAGAAAAATCTGTCTTTATTCCTCTGATGCGGGATCTATATGGAGGCAGAGCTGACCTTCATAGATCACAAAACACAGGCAAAAACCAAAAGACATGCCTCAGATGACCCTGCAGGCACAGGTATTGAAAACATCTTTCAAAGCAGCAGATGTGGGACTGCCAGAAGAAGCCATGAGAATGGAAAGAGGGAAAAGACAAAGAAAGGACCAAAATGGAGCTTGTTTTTTGAAGTCTCTATTATCACTCGACCTTCAGTTCATCCCTCTGTTTTCAATTAAATCTCAGCATAAGAGTTGGATGTTTACATCTAGTTGCATAATTGAGCTTTACACAAGGTGTAATTTACTTAAACACTGGTCCTGCTGGGATAGGAGAAATTACTCCAAGATAACCATCCACAAGTCTCCCACTTAAGCATTATATTCCACAGGACCTTTGGCCATGTGGCCTGTTAGGAAGGGGTGATAAAACTACTACCACTCAGTTCAAGTTTAGTCCCTTTATTTCCTCTGCTCCCCTCCTCCCATGCTCATGTAAAATGCAAAGCCATATATATACTCCTGCAAGTGTAGAAAGGTGTGGATAGGAAAACGGAGAGGAGGGAAGCTGTGTTCTCCAGTTACTCCAAGCCTGAATTAAGCGGGTTTTTTTGTTGTTTGTTGTTGTTTTTTATATTTTGTTAGTTGTAGATGGACACAATACCTTTATTGTATTTATTTATTTATTTTTATGTGGTGCTGAGGATCGAACCCAGGGCCCCACATATGTTAAGCAAGTGCTCCACCACTGAGCCACAACCACAGCCCCTTAAGTGGGGTTTTACAGAAATTGAGAGATTTGAGGGAAAGTGAACATGCAAATCCAAGCAATCAAAGGGAAGATTATCTTACTTAATACCAAGGATAGATGTTTTTCTTTCTGTTTTTCATGTCCAAAGAGGAAAATCAGGACCAGTGGCTTAGGTTGTAAATTTCAAAGTCAAAGACCCTTCCTGTTGAGGTTAGCTCTCAGGTTCTTAGGAGTCAACTGTGTGTGAAACATAATTAATAGCATGATAAATACAACTTGTAGAAGATGCAAGTGAAAGTCGGAGGCCCCTTCCATCAGTCCCCCTACAAAAAGCCTGTCATAAAGACAACTTAATCAACATTAACTGGACTATTAAAAAGTACTACCTATTAAAAGTTAGCCCTTCCCTAATGCTTCTTATTGGAGTTTCTCTCTCTGTGGGTGTGTTCATAAGAGAGAAGTGGGTGAGCAAGAGTGTACTGGGTACAATTTGTGTATCTGCAAAGGGAAACAGAAGCTCTCAATGAGGAAGAACATATGTTTCTGGGACTGCATCTGTGCAAAGTACACAGTCCTGAAGTTGTACTAAGGGAGAACTCTTAAAAAGTCTTTTATTCCCCACACGTCATCTTCTTGGCACATTTTCTTTATATTGCCCTTTCCGCTTCACCTATTACCCCTTTCTCACTCTCAGATCCAGGTAAAACACGAAATATTTCCAGCAGTCCGTCAGAGCCTGACGAACAAGATCGACTGCTCGCTCGGGAATCCCAGAAGCAAAACTCCGTTCAAGAACAGAAGTGATTCTCCAGGGCGCACCTGTCTGGAGGGCGGCCCCTCCCGCAATCAAACGGAAATCATATCTTTCCCGAGGGCTGGGCGGAGTCGGAGCCAGGCAGCAGAGCCGGTGCAGCGCTGGCAGGCAGCACGGAGGTGACTTCCACAATGTGCGCGACCCCGCACAGACCGCGCCCGCGCGCATCTCCCGATCTCCCCGCGGGCGGGTCTGGAGAGCCAGGTGTCCGCGCGCGCGCCCCGCTCCGGCCCCGCCCCCGCTCCCGGGCCTGAGTGCGCGTGCCCGTCCAGAGCCGCGCCCCCTTCCCCCGGGCAGGCCGAGCGCGCGGCCCCAGAGGCCCAGCTCCCCACCACCCGGCCTCTCACCGGCGCGGGGGGGCGGGTCCGGGGGCGGAGCCCGGCGGTGAGGCGGGGCTTGCGCCCGCGCCCCCAGCTCGGCTGCGGCTTCCACCGCAGGTCCCGCGGCAAGCCAGCGGCTGGGTCGCCTACTCCAGCGCCATGGCAGCCCCCGGCTCCCCGGCTGAGTGCGGCTACATCAGAACCGTCCTGGGCCAGCAGATCCTGGGACAACTGGACAGCTCCAGCCTGGCTCTGCCCTCGGAGGCCAAGCTGAAGCTGGCGGGCAGCAGCGGCCGCAGTGGCCAGGCGGCCAAGAGCTTGCGGATCCAGGAGCAGGTGCAGCAGACCCTGGCCCGGAAGGGCCGGAGCTTTGCGGTCAACGGTGAGTAGAGCCCCCCCCCCGCCCTATCTGCCCCCACCCTGTCCCTCACCCACTCTCCTTCATCTTCCTCAACCTAGTCGCCCGACTCGCTGCTTTCTGGGGGTGCGAAACCCTGTGGTGTTTTGCTTACCTGTTGCTCGTCGTCCCTTTGTATGACCCGCTGCACCTCCACTCTGACCAGCTTACTTGGGGAAAATGCTGTTTTCCCCATCACCTCTTATTCAGTTTTGCCATCAATGTATCTATGCATGTTAAAACGCATATATCTATGTTAAAGAATTCAGCCGAATATTTCAGCCCTTTTTTTGCTTATTCCTCTGGATTTCACCTCTCTGTTAGAGGGCACTTAATCTGGAAACTCAGAGGATCCATATACACTTTGAAATTCTATGCAGAATTTGGGTGTGCACAAACATTTTTCTGGGAGAAAGCGCCCTTAGCTCTAGAGTCCCAGAACTACAGAAGTAACTTTAAAAAGAAAACCTGAAGGCACTGCCGCTCTTACAACCTGTAAATTGGGAAAGTGCTGCCTCGCCCAGGTACTTCGGGGCGCTCCACCCAATGTACACGGCGACTGGTTGATCTAGGAAGTGAACAAATTGGGTAGGAGGCTTTGGGCTATAACCACACCACCCTGCGGTGGAGGAGGAGGTTGGGGACTTTGGCCCTGCTGGCAACAACCCCGCCCGCCTAGCTAGCCGGCTCTGGAGCTCGGCTGTGTGTCCCCACCCACCACCACCACCACCAAAGTACATGTGGGTGTCAAGGCTGGTTTCTCCAAAAAATTAAACCCTGAGATGAAAGGGGTTCTCTCTCTCTCTCTCTCTCTCTCTCTCTCTCTCACACACACACACACACACACACACACACACACACACACAATCAGTGACAGGATAGTTGGAAGGGAAAGATGGCAAACCAGTTGTGAAAATTAGAGAATATGGTGTATCCTTTTCTCACCAGCTAAAGTAGGATGATCAGAATGACACGATAACACTTGTTTTAGTTGTTTAACTGTATTGTTGTTGTTGTTGGCTTATTACAGAGAGTGGACGATGAAGTTGGGATATCAATTTGTTCCTACAATGTTCAACTGTCTCTGTAGGAAATAACTTAGGCAATGGCAAAACCCATTAGGGGGTTAAAAAAAATTTAAAACACCAGTCCATACATATAAAACAGCAGCAGAGTCTGGAGGCTGTACTGTTTTCAACTTGCAATGAACGAATCTTAAAGAGACAGGCAGTTTATATTTACATACTTTAAAAAGTAAGGAGATGTTTAATGATTGTAAGCTATGTAACTTAGTGCCTACTATATCCCAAGACTGGAACTGTGTGTTTTGCATTCATTGTAATATATTTTAATTGTGAGCTAGGTATTTTAATTCCCATTTATAGATAAGGAAATTCTAAGCAGTTAAATAGTACTCATATCCCCATAGATAATAAGTGGTTGAACTGGTATTTGAATTCCTAAACCTAAGTTTCTAAACCACTCATCAGTTATGTCATAGAGTTTTCTTATTATTAATGCAAAGAGGGATTTACTAGACCTGCCTTTCTGTGGTCCCTTCCCATTTTCCTCTAAATAAAATTGAGGAAGTTCTGAGAGGGTGAGAAGATTTAGACAATACAGAACAGATACATTAAGGGCGGGAGGAGTCTAGCTAAAGACTCCAGAATGAATGAAGCCAGTCTGACCAGCAGAATCATTCAGGACGCTCCCTGAAGTCTGAACATTCACAGGTCCAGTGCTAAACTACAGCTAAATCAGCTTCCTCTACTTAGGGGACACATACGATACATATTAGATATTCTTTCTTATCCTATGAAAGTGACCAGTCAGGAAGAGCAGGCAGATATCAACTATTAAACAGATGGAGCCTTGAACTGAAGGAAAGGGAGATTTGTGGAGCATCTACTATTTGCTTCACTGGGTTTTAGAATATCATGTGTTTGCATTTCATTATACCTTTAAAACAGATGTGATAGATATGAAGATCATTTTCACATGTGAAGTATATGTCCATCAACATTTTTTGGGAAGTTTAGTCCCAACCTCTCAAATGACCTATGTTCTCTTACCACATGGTAGACCAGCTATTGGTGAGCTCAGCAACCATCAAATGAGTATGTTTATATAGAGGACCCTGCAAGTGCTGAATTAAACATACATACTCTGCCTTCTTTAAAGACTGAAGTTTAAAGCTGAAAGTAGGGAGTCTCCCACTAGAAAAATATTATTAACAAATGAAAAGTAGGGAACCAAAAGAACAGCTAAGACCTTATGGAGTCTAGAAGTATATTACTCCCAGCTGAAGGGAATCTTGAAAAGCTTCAAGGAGGAATTAGGATTTTAAATCTCAAAAATGTAGTAGGATTGGACATAGGGATGTGGTTGGAGAAAGAGCATTCTAGGAGGAAACAACATGAACATTTCATAGTTCACAGAGTTGATCTGGTAGAACAAAGGGTGCTATCTTGGTGCTTCTGCTCAAATGCTTGGGGCAACTACTTGAGTGGCTCTTCCAACTAAGGAACAAAGCGTTTGAAATATTTTGATTACAACAGCAGCTTCCCAGCAAGCTGAAATACACTCCACAGCCTCCACAGAAGTGTAACTCAGCCAAAGAGATAAGGCAGCAAACAACACCTACTTACTTTAAAGCCTCAGCTTTCTGAGACTCGAAAAGGAAATTAGCTTCAAAGGAATTTAACATTAACATGCCATGGAACAATTATCAAGGGTAGTTCATATGTTGTTTAATTAAAGTTCTTTGACAAGGTCTTGGGGACTCATGATGCCTTGTGAGTATTGTTGTTATTATTTCCGTATTACTGTCCTATCTCAAGTTGAAACAGACAGGCAATTGTTGAAATAGTGCTGGTCTGGAAAGAATCCTGTATCAACAGGAGAAATTCTGGGAAGAAAAACCTGGTGTTAAATGCACTCCTCAGCCCTGGAGACTTCTGAATTGTTGACATACCTATGAGGTTGAGGCAGCAAATAATGTGCTGGAAACAAAGCTGATTGGTTGGTAAATATCTTGCAAGGGTCTTTAACCTTTCACTTCTTTCTAATGCCTCAATATACTGGGTGGTTTTCACTGTAAATTACTCAATTATTTTTGGTGTTTTAAACTGTGCTGAACATTTTTAAGTTGTCCCTCTTGGGTGTAGGGAAGGTTCTGAGGTGCATAGCCTTGTTGTAAAATGCATGTGTATTGGAGTGAATTTTAAAAATTCTTTTATAAAAAGTCACAATAAAAATGTTTAAAAATTGCAAGTTTTAGCAAAGGGGGAAATTAAAACTGTCCATATCCTGTTTATTACACCTACTTATTATATAGTTCTTTCCCTAACCTCGGGTGCCTCAGTAGGAATATAGTCGTGTTTTAAATTATTATATGTAATGCTTATAGCGTACAATGGACAATATCCTAATGAAATTTATAACTTCTTTGGGACTCCACCATAAAAACTGAGAGCATATTATTTACTTACATGATTTCCTGGTGAAGCTGCTTTGACTATCTATGATCAGAGTGACTTCTGGAGAAAGGAATGGAAATTTGTTCAGGGTAACAAAAAAAAAAGTAGTTAATAGGTGCTGCTGGAAACAAACAAACAAAAAGTTACACATTGTTCAAATTCTATATGAATTCTTTGCCAAAAAGGAATTCAAGGAATGAAGCAATTCTGGGAGATGACTAATCATTCAGAACCTAGAAGGGATCAGGAAAGGAAAACAAGATATGGTGGGGTGACAGGGCCATGCCGAACTTCTCTGAGAGTGCTGTGTCGGTAGCACCTCTGGATTTAATGTTCCTCCACATCTGCCTAATATATCCCATGGGCACTGTTCCATGTCTAGAAGATTGGGTGCAGTAAGTTAAAAGGGCAAAAAAAAAAAAAAGTGGCTTTTTTGTTGTTTTATTTTTTAAAAATTCTCAATGTACATATTACACTGAAGTAGAATGTGAATAAAATGGTGCTAAAAATAAAATAAGCTTCATGCTACTAGAAATGGTGAGAACGTATCTTTTATGGGTTAAATTTTATGGTTGAATGAGGGTCAGTAAGGATGCTTCAGAATCAATGAAACTAATAAACCACAAAGATCCAGAGAAACAAAACTGAATATAAAAATACATTGTTCGGTGTGCCATGGATAAGATGCAGGAAATTAAGAAGAGGACTGTTCACTTACACCTTTAAAACATGCCACTAATGGCATCTATGCCCTGTGCTAGTGATTCCAGCATCATGGGAACAGAGGGCCGCTGGCTTGAATTAGATATTCTAGGCATTCATTGGCCCATTCTCCTAAACTGTCATTTATGATATCAGCTTTAAAATTTTTTCTCATGCATTAACATAAGGCTATATGTACTTACATTTATTTAACACCAAAACCAAATTTCTGATCTGAGCAATTAGCAATTGAAACTATTAGAAGTTTTGATTTGTTTTCTTCTCTGAGAGAACCAAGATTATTGGCAACCTAGCTATGATAGTTAGAAAATGCAATAACAAATATATTGCTAAAACCTCTGGAGTTTAGAAATTATACTTGATTATCGTAGCCTATAAGATCATTTGGTTCCATCTCAATGATATTCAAGAACTTAAAATTAAGCTGGGTGTGGTGGCACACATCCATAATGCCAGCTAGGTGAGAGAATAAAGCAGGAGGTTCACAAGTTCAAACCAGTCTGGAAAATTTAGTGAGACCCTGTCTCAAAATTTAAAAAGATTAAAAATAATAATAATTTTTTTAAAAAGCCTGTGGAGGGCAGGCTGGGAATGTAGCTCAGTGGTAGAACACCCCTGGGCTCCATCCCCAGTACTAGGGGGCAGGGAGGGCAGGTAAGAATTATACAATTCTGAGATGAATGTTGGATTCCAGCTATTTTGTATATGTATACATATTGTAAAGTAACAGTTAAAGGTAATGGTACATGTGGAAATAGACCATAAATTAGAAGAAAACTTTAA